ATCAGCCCAGCGCCAGAAAAATGAGGCTGCTGCCACCACTGTGGGTGGAAAAGCAGGTCAGTGAGACCAGGGCAGGCAGAGGCCGGGGCAGCAGCTGGGGGGCCTTCTGGGTACCACGGGTGAGGGTCAGTGAACAAGGGGCTGCCCTGAACCGTCAGAGCTCTGGAAGTTCTGTGCTGTTTTAGGGGCCTGCATTAATCCAACAAATATTTATGAAGCCCCTATTGTGAACAAGCAGTGGAACATAGCCCTTTAGGGAACATGTTAGGGCCATAAGAAGGGGCCTGTAATGCAGATGGGACTGAAGGGCAGAGGAGAAAACGCCCGGCTCTACTGGTCAAGGCCTTTGAGCACCTACAATGCACCAGGCACAGTGATGGAGTTTTTGGTTTTTTTTTTCACACAGTCTTGTTCTGTCACCCAAGCTGGAGTGCAGTGGCACGATCTCAGCTCACTGCCACCTCTGCCTCTCAGGTTCAAGAGATTCTCCTGCCTCAGCCTCCCAAGGAGCTGTGATTGCAGGCGTCAGCCACCACACTCGGCTAATTTTTGTATTTTTAATAGAGACACAGTTTCACCATATTGGTCAGGCTGGTCTCAAACTCCTGACCTCAGGTGATCCACCCACCTCAGCCTCACAAAGTGCTTGGATTACAGACGTGAGCCACCACGCCTGGCCTGTGACTGAGTCTTAACAGCAATCCCGGCAGTGGGTCGTGCTATTCCTTTACTTAGATCCAAGAGGCAGACTCACTCGCCCAGGATCCTACAGCAGAGCCAGGGTCCACGCCAGAACCTCATGACTCCAAAGCCTTGTGTTTTCCTCTGGGCCACACTAACCTTAGGAAAGACGATTTCACCAGGTGGCCGAGGGAGGAATGACATTCCAGGTAGATGGAATGGAAGGGCCAAGGGCTTGGAGTTGGGAGGCCAGTATAAGGGGAACAGCCTGGCCGAAGCACTTTTTTAAGGCTTAGAGCAAGGAAGGTGTGCGTGAGTGTAAAACTTAAGAAACCGAGGAACAATGAGAAACAGAGTCTGCAGAAAGGAACCCCCTCCAGTCATAACAAAGGAAAGTGGCGGAGTACTGGGAGGTGGCGTGGAAGATGCTCAGCCTCCTCCCACACAAGCCTCAGAGGGCTTGAGGTCAGGTACTGGGCTGGCCAAGGTACAAAAGATTTCTTGTTGGGGTGGAAGGAGGAGAAACTAGCTAAGCGGGAAGAGAGGCCCGATAGTCATCATGGATGAGGATGAGAAGCCAGGCTTGACCCAAGGCTGCCCAGGACAGTGCCAATTCCACTCAGTTGCCTAGCTGTGTGTGCCCTCTTTCCTCTCTCTCCAGGCTACTGGGCCTGCCCCTGCAATGAGGGGATTGCAAAGGATGGGCTCCTCCTGCCCACCTGACTGGCTGGGAAATGTGAACCCTGCACAGTCTCTGCATCCTCTTCTCTGTACAGAAAGAAACCTGCCTACAAGCCTCTCCCCATGGCAGGCGGGCAGCTGGGCAGAGGACGCAGGACTTCCCTCCTACCCACCCTGCCCAGTCCCACACCCTTCCCCTCATGCTATTCCCAGAAACAGAGGACAGTCACTATTCGTCAGGCAGGATGGCCTTATGTTCTCTTGGTGACATCACTGTAAAGCAACTTCCCTGAAGAGTTGTGGACAGGCAGGAATGGACTTCACCTGAGCTCCAGCAACTCCTTCCCTTCTCCCAGATTTGCAGAGAATTCCTCACCATGTGCATATACACACACCCTCTCTAGGTCCTGCTCTGTCTTCAAGAACAAGAATGGGGGTGTCATTTTTACAGGGAGGTGCCAGGGCCTGGTCTCAGAGATGGGGTGTACTCTGATCATGGGCCCATTGCCCTACTTTTAGGAGTTTCTGGGTGGGAGCTGGAGTGCAGGTAGGCTGTCCAAGCAGAGGCAAGGTGGGGGTGAAGCAGGATGTTTAAGTGCTCCAGGGGCTCTCCCCTCTGCCGCAGGGTGAAGGGATACTTCCTAGAAAGCCTCCAGGTTTCTTGGGAAGGCCCTTCACCCCTGCCCCACCTCCTCTCTGGCTCCCATGCAACAGGAACTCTCCTTGAAGAAGGGACTTGGAGCACAGGAAACAAAGGTGTCTCTGTACCACCTCCCTGCACCCCCAAGGAAGGTCAGGTCAAGGTGACCTCAGTCTGTTCTGCCCAGGGTAGGGGCATGAGCAGACCTGATTGCCATGGGCAAGGCAGAAAGGGGTCCTGGGATGATATATATATATATATATATATATATATATATATATACACACACACATATATATATATATATATATATTTTTTTTTTCGAGCAGATTCTCACTCTGTCACCCAGGCTGGAGTGCAGTAGCACCATCTTGGCTCACTGCAACCTCCACCTCCTGCCTCAGCCTCCCAAGTAGCTGGGACTACCAGCAGGTGCCACCATGCCCAGCTAATTTTTTGTATTTTTAGTAGAGACAGAGTTTCACCATGTTTATCAGATCTTGATCTACTGACCTCATGATCTGCCCACCTTGGCCTCCTAAAGTGCTGGGATTACATGCGTGAACCATTGCACCCACCTTGTTTTTTTTTTTTTTTTTTTTTTGAGATGGAGTTTCGCTCTTCTTGCCCAGGCTGGAGTGCAATGGCACAATCTCAGCTCACTGAAACCTCCATCTCCCTAGTTCAAGTGATTCTCCTGCCTCAGCCTCCCGAGTAGTTAGAATTACAGGCGACCACCACCATGCTCAACTAATTTTTATATTTTTAGTAGAGACAAGGTTTCACCATGTTGGTCAAGCTGGTCTCAAACTCCTGGCCTCTAGTGATCCGCCCACCTTGGCTTCCCAAAGTGCTGGGATTACAGGCCGTAAGCCACTGCACCCAGCCTGGGGAATATATTTCTGTAAGATTTCTAAAATCCTTCCTCACTCCCTATCTAATGCTGTGACTTAGATTTGGGGGTGAAGGGCAGTCAGGAGCAAGGAGGCAGCCTCGGGCCCCAGCTCAGTTCAGACCCTAGACAGTTTCTCATCTTCCTGAACCCCATTCTGGAGGCCTCAGTTTTCTCCTCCACAGCCTGGTTCCCCAAAACCACCAGGGTGCTTTGCGGTGGGAAATCGCAGAGACCAAACCAGGGGACTGAAAGCAAAAAGAAACCCCAAATTTGACATTTCCGGGTAGCTGTGTTATCTGAAGCCACGACTACAGTCACCTCTTCCCCTAACCCAACCCTGACACCCTTCCCTCTACTCTCTTGGGTGCCCTTTGCCCATCCAGGGAAAGTTCCACAGCTCCTCCTCCTCCCCACTGCATCTCAGAGGGAGAACAGGCACAAAGAAACAGAGAGAAACCCAGACTATCAGAGAAGCAGATGGAGACCTAATGAGACAGGGAGAGACAGAGAGAGAATAAAAGTCAGAGGGGGAGACGTGCAATGAAAGATACCAGGATTTGGGGCCTTGTAATCAGAGACCAAATGAGGAGACAGTCAACCAGGGGCACTGCCACTGGGCACAGGGTCGGGGTGGGAGTCACGGGAGGGCTCTGAAAACACTGCCCCACACCCTCTTAAGCCCATCCTTCCCGTTCTGTTCTCTGGCACCTCAATGCTAGCTTTTTAGGACCCAGGACTACTCAATAGCCAAACCCAGCCCAACCCAGACAGATGTTTGGTGGGTGGGGCTTCCTGCTGGAGCAACGGGCCCCTGCAGGCCCTGGGGGAGAAGCCTAGAGAGGCAGCTGTCTGGAAGAGAGCAGGCAGGACCCCCACTCTTACACAGGCACCCCACTCCATCAGGTGCCCAGATGTCAGCACATGACAAGGTTGGCCCTCTGTCCCTCTTCAGACCTGGCTGAGAGGACTTGGAAACCTGAGGAATCTGCTCCCATCCACTGACTTCCACACCTGCCTGAAGGGAACCGCTGGAGGGCACAGGTGCCAAGTAGGATCCACCAAAATGTGGCAATGGGTTTGGATCCAGCCACTGACAGGCTGCATGACAGCAGCGAAGTCACTTCCCCTCTCTGGCCTTTGTTGGAATTCCCACTTGTAAAATCATCTTTATGGTCACTTACAGCTGTGACACTTGGCTTTCATTCCAGGTGGCCCCCTAGCTCTGTGTCTGACCCTCCCCTGCCAAATCCATTGCTGGGAGTGGGAAAGGAGAGGAGAAGGGCTAGACTTCCTCCTCCCTGGGCCCCCTGCAGAGCATCTGGGACGCAGGACTTCCCTACATCCTCCATGCACCCCCTTAGAGTTTTCAATTCCTTTCCTCGTGATCTTGCCAACTAAGACACTGTGACCACACATGGAAGGTGGGGAGAACCCAGACATACAATTTGGCTTTTGCACTCTGTGAAGTTAAAAGAAAGAAACTGGGAGAGGTAGTAAGGGGCAAGAAGAGGGAGTGGGAAAGGAGAGAAAAGGGCAGCTCCGAGAAGCAGCTGGGGAGGGAGGCAGAGAAGAATGCACCATTCCCAGTACATGCGGTCTTGGCCCAGCTGGGCTGTGAGTGGGCAGCTGGGCTGGCCCCTCCTCTGGTGCTGCCAACCCACTGCCAGGCAGAGAGGAGGCCCAGAGGAGAGGGAAGCTGGGCAAAGGGGATGGAAGGCGTCCAGCGCGACCTTACCAAACCCCTTGGGCCTCGTGAGAAGGGGCCTATTGGAGAGGGGGACCGAGGCTCTAGGCAGGATGTTCACTGCTGTGGCAAGGCCTATAGGCAGTTTTGAGGTTGGGAGGACTCAAGAGGGCCCCTCCCTGGACTTTTCTGAAAGCAGAACCAGTCTCATAAGTAACCAGGTTGGGTGAACCGGGCGCTGGCTAGTGTGTGGATCACAGCCGGCTGGAGAGGACAGGCGCCCACTGTGTGGCCCTGGGCAAGCCCCTTCCCCTCTCTGGACTTCCATTTCTTACCTGCAAAATTGTGGAGCGGGGGAGGGTTGAAACACATGACTGCCAAGGTTCTTTCCTGTTTCTCCATCAGGGTGAGTTTAGATGGTGGGAATAAAAGATGGAGGAGGTGCCGCGGTAGACGGGGTGATCTTGGCTTCTCTGGAATCCCCGGTCCTTCCCCTCTCTCCAGTTTAGCCTCTGAGGTCACAAAACTTGTGGCCCCCAGGACACACATGCGAGCGCGCACACACACACACCCCACATATTTATTTTTTAATCTAGAGGCTCAAAAGATGACACACGCCGGAGCTGGAAGGCCTCACCAGCTAGTCCACACTTCCCTCCTCCCTTTTTGCGGATGAGAAAACCGAGGCCTGGGTTTGGGATTTCCAGAGCCCGGGATTTCCCGGCCCTCCCACCCCATTCTCCAGGTGGCTCTGACTCGCCGCGGCTCCGGGACGCTCCCTCGGAGCCGCAGCCGAGGGCCGCCTGGGACTCCCGGGGGACCCCGCCGTCGGGGCAGCCCCCACGCCCGGCGCCGCCCCGCCTCGCCTCGCCGCTCGCCGGATTCGGCCGCTGCCGCTGCGCACTCGCGGGGGAGCCGGCGACCGAAGGCGGAGGCGGGGAGGGAGCGAGCGGGGCTGGGAGGGGTGCTGGCGCGGGCTCGCGCGCTGTGTATGGTCTATCGCAGGCAGCTGACCTTTGAGGAGGAAATCGCTGCTCTCTGCTCCTTCCTGTAGTAACAGCCGCAGCTGCCGCCGCCGCCCCCAGGAGCCCCGGCCCGGAGCGAGAGCCGCGGGGCGCAGAACCGGCCCGGCTGCCGGACGGCGCGGCCCCACCAGGTGGGTGGCCAGGTGGGTGGCCCGGTGGTGCGTCCGGGAGGCGTGCGGAGAGGGGACACTCGACAGCCGCCCCGGTACCCCGGCACCCACGGTACCCGGGGCCCGACGGCCGAGCGCAGCGCGGGGATCAGTCCCCGACACTGCGAGGGAGTTGGCGCAGCGCAGACAAGGGAAGACGGAGCAGCGGGGGATGTAGGGACAGGGCTCGGGGATGAAGGGCGGAGGCCAGGGAGGGCACCGTCCTGGCACGCCTCGGAGAGGGAGGGAGCGCCGTCGGGCTGGACGCGGGGAGACGCCGGTGACCAGTTGGGGGAGCAGCCGGAGGTCCCCAGCCCTCTCTCCTAAACAGCCCCAGCCACGTGCCTGAACAGCCCTAGCCGTCGAGTGGGAGCTGTCACAGTGCTGGCCTAACTTTGGGTTGGAATATCTTCCCCTTCCAGAAACTGGGCCTCAGACGGAGTGGGGGGATTCTTGCAGCCCTCTTCAGAGGACCTGTGGGCCTCCGCTGTCAAGTTTCTCTTTCAGTTTCTAGCCATCCTCCCCCTACCCCCCACTGGGGAAGCTCCAGTGAGGCTAGAGTAAAGGAAGATGGGGACGGCACCTGCCTTTGCAGCGCACCCTCCCCTTCAGCGGGTTCCTTGTTGCAGGGGATGGGCGGCCTGCTCCTCCTCACCGTCTCTCTTCCCGCACAGGAAAGCGTGTCTGTGGGAGGGGAGGGGCCTGGCCTGACCACAGTTCAGGGATAGGTAGGCATGGCAGGGTCAGAGGCAGTCCCGGCCATTGGCTCTGCGGAGGAGAGAACTTCAGTGCTGGGCTCGCCCTAGGTGAACGGCCATGGCAGGGTGGATCCAGGCCCAGCAGCTGCAGGGAGATGCGCTGCGCCAGATGCAGGTGCTGTATGGCCAACACTTCCCCATCGAGGTCCGACATTACTTGGCCCAGTGGATTGAGAGCCAGCCATGGTAGGCCTGCCCCGCCTTGGCCCTCCTCAGAGGGTCCTTACAATCCAGGCCCTTTGGCCTCTAGTTCTACTCATGGTGATTTGGTGTGACTCTGGTCCTGCCTGTCCGTCTCTGTGCGGAAGGGGTGGTGTCCCTGGGAAAGGGGAAGCCTGGGAGGACAGAGAATGTTTCTAGCCTTAGATGCCTGTGGAACTGCGGGAACAAGTCTTGTGGGCCCTGCAGCGCCCTCCATCATAAGCCTGGGGTTTCCACTTTATTCTGGGCGCCTGACCTCCTTGCCCAGGATGGTGCCACAGTAGGATTTTCTCTCCTGCCCTGCCCCAAGGGATGCCATTGACTTGGACAACCCCCAGGACAGAGTCCAAGCCACCCAGCTCCTAGAGGGCCTGGTGCAGGAGCTGCAGAAGAAGGCAGAGCACCAGGTGGGGGAAGATGGGTTTTTACTGAAGATCAAGCTGGGGCACTACGCTTCACAGCTCCAGGTGGGTGTGGGCTCTGGGCCACCTACGGGAGGCAGCATCATCTTGTTCCAGCATCAGAACCCCTGGGTTTTTTCCTGGCATGGCCACTGACTCACCATGTGACCGCAAACGTATTGGCAACTTTTCTTCATTTCCCCCACCCCCTCTTTCTAAATTACACCTGTCGGATTTCTTTAGTGTATTGCAAAGCAAGGGTGGTAGGTGTCTGTTGCCAACAGAGGGAGATGGGTGAACTGGCCTTATGGAAGAAGCAGAAGGGATGGAGATAGACTGAGTCAGGATTCCTGTGTTGGAGAAGGGAAGATCAGCCGACTCTAGAAACGAGGCCACCGACCTCCCTCTTGGGCTCTTTTAAAGGTGGGAGGGGAGCCATGCCAGAGAAAAGAGCTGGACACAAGGGCTTTGAATTGAGGGTTTAGGAATAAGGTATAGCTTCTTCTTTACTTGAGGGAGGGGGTATGGAGGAAGAGAGGGAGTGTTTGTGGAAGTAGGAAAGGGGTGTGGATAGTGATCACAGTCAAGTGTTTATTGAAACTCATGTTTCCTAGAGAGCCCTTCAACACAGACAGCAGGATGCCAGGGAAATACAAGTCCATCCCAGAAGAGAGGGGACACTGGAGAGGCCTGAGGGGAAGCAACATAGGAGGCCAGGGGCAGGCTGGTGGGAAGTACTTGACCTTGGCATCAGATGCCCTGAGTCTGGAGTCATTTGCTCTCTCACTTGGTTGCATCTGGACAAGTACCTAATCTCTCTGAGCATCAGTTTTCTCATCTGTGAGAAGGGGATTATAGTTTCTGTACAGGGTTTCCATGCTGTTAGTGCAGTGATCTCCAACCACTTTTTGGCACCAGAGACCAGTTTTATAGAAGACAATTTTTCCACGGACTGGGGTCGGGCAGGGAGGTGGTTTTGGGATGATTCAAGGGCATTACATTTATTGGGCACTTTATTTCTATTATTATCACATTGTACCATGTAATGAAATAGTTACACAACTCACCACAGTGTAAGATCAGTGGGAGCCCTGAGTTTGTTTTCCTGCACCTAGACAGTCCCACCTGGGGGTGATGGGAGTCAGTGACAGATCGTCAGATGTTAGATTCTCATAAGAAGTGCATAGCCAGGCCGGGCGCGGTGGCTCACACCTATATAATCGCAGAGCTTTGGAAGGCCGAGGCAGGCGGATCACGAGGCCAGGAGTTTGAGACCAGCCTGGCTGTGGTGAAACCCTGTCTCTACTAAATATAAAAATAAGCCAGGCATGGTGGCGGGCGCCTGTAATCCCTGCTGCTTGGGCGGCTGAGGCAGGAGAATCACTTGAACCTGGGAAACGGAGGTTGCAGTGAGCCGAGACCGCACCATTGCACTCCAGCCTGAGCGACAGAATGAGACTTTGTATTAAAAAAGAAAAAGAAGCGTATCACCTCGATGGCTCGCTTGCGCAGTTCACAATAGCGTTAGCGTTCCTATGGGAATCCAGCGCTACCGCAGTGCTACTGCGCATCTCACAGGAAGTGGAGTTCAGGCTATAATGCCAGCAGTGGGGAGCCGCTGTGAATACAGATGACCCGTCACTCGCTTGCTCACCGACACTCACCTCCTGCTGTGCGGTCCAGTTCCTAACAGGCCACGGACCCGTACCAGTCCACAGCCCAGGGGTTGGGGACCCCTGTGTTAGTGCTTCATTACAAAACGAGTTTTCAAAGAAAAAAAGAAAGTGCTTCATAAACTGTGGGTTTTTAATTGGTTCCAAACCACATATGAAGATCTTGGAGGGGAAGATGAGGAAGGGAGAGACAGAGGTGTGTAGTTCCCGAGGCTTCCTGGGAAAAGCTGAGGCAGAGGTTGAAGGAGAGGAAGGGCTGGGCATGGCACAGGGGTGGCGTGGCTGGAGCAGAGGGTGGCTATTGGAGGCTGCTGTTGGATTCTTTCAGAAAACATATGACCGCTGCCCCATGGAGCTGGTCCGCTGCATCCGGCACATTCTGTACAATGAACAGAGGCTGGTCCGAGAAGCCAACAATGTGAGTGTCCCGTGGCTGTGGGGAGAGGTGTTGGGAAGTCCTTTCATATGCCTTTCTCTCCAGACACAACTGTGTTTATGTAAAACAACAGCACGAGGAGGGCACGACGAAGATGAAGGACATGGGCAAGCGTGAGAGGTGGCAGCATTGCACGGTGGGGTGGTGACCCCCTGGGTCCAGCCCCTGGCTCTGCCACTTACTAGCTGTGTGACTTGAGCAAGCTGCTTAACCTCTCTGAGGCTCTGTTCCTACTCTTGTAAAATGGAGATGGCAATCATACCTATCTGTGTCAGAACTAACACAGGCAGGCTTAGAGAAGTGAGGCCCAGGGAGGGGCAGCGGGGCACATCTCCCCAGTTCTGAAATCATAAAGGCATTGGATATCTACATGGACAGTGGCACAGTGCTCTACTATCTACAATAGAGCAAAAACAACATGACATAACAGTTAGAAATCTTAGAACAGGCCGGGCTCGGTGGCTCACGCCTGTAATCCCAGCACTTTGGGAGGCCAAGGTGGGTGGATCACCTGAGGTCAGGAGTTCGTGATGAGCCTAGCCAACATAGTGAAACTCCTTCTCTACTAAAAATACAAAAATTAGCTGGGTGTGGTGGCGGGTGCCTATAATCCCAGCTACTTGGGTGGCTGCGGCAGGAGAATCATTTGAACCTGGGAGACAGGCTGCAGTGAGGCGAGACCATGCCATGGCACTCCTTGTTGCCTGGGTAACAAGAGCGAAACTCTGTCCCAA